CATAATAGAGCATGTGTCGTTATCATGTCCTGCGAGCCTTCGTTGTTAACGATGCTCCGCATCATACGCCCCCTCCGCAAAAGAAGTTTTCCGTGATTTCTCCTCGTCAGCTGGAACATCATCTGGCGGAAAATATGGGTATAGATCTGTGACGTTAAAAGTGTTTGAAGTGTTGAACTCGGCAGGCAACTCGATAACATAAGCGTTATCGTTAATTCGATGTTTAACTGAAAATGGACCAAATTTCTTCCGATTGAGTTTACTGTAAGTTCCCGCCGGCAATCTTTTCTTCTGCATCCGCACCCAAACTAAGTCACCTGGCTGAAAAATCTTCTTCCTTCTATGTTGATCAACATCCAGCTTATATTTTTCATTAGCTTCCTGTAGTTTGAGACGGACTCCAGCTAGCATGTTTGCGAATTGATCCACCCAAGTCGATGCCGCCTTGCTCTTACAGTTCGGTATAACTGCTACATCAAGAACATTGTTTGGCATTTTCGTATAGACAATACTAAATGAGCACTTACCCGTAGACCGATTTGGCATCGAGTTGAAAGCAAACTCCGCTTGGCATAGCACCTCATCCCATGACTTCGGCTGTTCCTGCACCAAGCACCTCAATAGATTTCCCAAAGTTCGGTTCACGACCTCTGTTTGTCCGTCAGTTTGCGGGTGATAAGAAAAGCTCAATTGGAGGCGAGTCTTGAATCTTTTCCACAGTTCACGCCAAAAGTGACTGAGAAATTTCACATCTCGGTCGGAAGTCAGACTCCTCGGCACCCCGTGCAACCGAACAACCTCCTTGAAGAACAGTTTTGCTATATTAAGCGCATCAAAAGTTTTCTTACACGCAATAAAGTGCGCCATTTTTGAAAATCGATCAACGACTACCATAATAGAGTCGTTTCCATGCTTGGTACGTGGCAAACCAAGTACGAAGTCAAGACTGAGATCCTCCCAGATACAGTCGGGTATCGGCAAAGGTTGATACAGGCCCGTGTTTTGTCCGCCAGAATTGTAACTTTGACAGATTGAGCATCGTTCCACGTACCGAATAACGTCCCATCTGATATGTGGCCAGTAGAACCTTTCCTGTAACTGTGCTAATGTTTTGTCTTGTTCGGCGTGAGCTTCCAACCCCCCACCGTGAGTTTCTTGTTTTAGCAATTGACGCCAAGAAGACTTCGGTATGCACAGTAAATTGCCTTGAACAGAAACCCGTGTCTGACATTAAAATCCTCTAGAGGTTCTTTATTAAGGCATTGAATCCATACCTTAGCAAAATCAGGATCCCCTGCATATAACTCGTGTAAGCATTCTAATCCAGCAAAGTCGGTCTGTAGTTGTTTGATGAGCGCGAATCTCCAACTCAAAGCGTCAGCGACCCTGTTTTGAGTTCCACTTTTGTGTTTCAACACGAAAGTAAACTTCTGTAAGAATAGGATCCATCTTGCGTGCATCCGATTTATATTCTTTTGTGTATTTATATACTGGAGGGCCTTGTGATCGCTGTAGATGATGAAGTCTTGGTGTAGCAAATAATGCTCCCACCGTTTTAAAGCCCGCACCACCGCATACAATTCTTGTTCATATACCGACCACCGCTGTCGAGACGGGCATAATTTCTCACTGAAGAACTCGATAGGCTTGCCTTCTTGTACTAAAACTGCTCTGATCCCCACTGTGGAGGCATCAGTTTCTATAGAGAATGGTTTATCGAAATCCGGTAGAGCCAGAACCGGTGCCGATGATAATGCTGCTTTGATGGCCTCAAAGCTGGCTTGTTGATCATCTTTCCAGTGAAATTGTTTCAATTTCAACAAATCAGTTATGGGGGCTAGCATTATACTAAAACCTTTTATAAACCTCCTATAAAAGTTGGCTAGTCCGTGAAAGCTCCTTACATCCGTAAATGATTTCGGTATTGGCCAATCCACGATCGCTTTCACCTTCCTAGGATCGGCGCTTACGCCCATGGCAGAAATTTTAAAACCGAGAAATGAAACAACTTCCATAGCAAATTCACACTTTTCTATATTCAGGAAAAGTCCGTGTTCACGAAACACTTCAAAAATCTGCCTCAAATGGTCAATATAAGCTTCAAGACTGCTACTAAATACAAGAACATCATCGAAATAAGCCACACAGCATTTGTTGAGGAAGGGCTTTAAAATTTCATTCATCAGGCGCATAAACGTGGCTGGTGCATTACACAATTCAAATGGCATAACACGCCACTCATAGAGCCCTTCGCGAGTCTTGAAGGCTGTTTTCCACTCATCTCCGGGACGTATCCGGATTTGGTGATAACCACTACGGAGATCGAGTTTTGAGAAGACCTGAGATCCTGATAGCTTTTCAACATTTCATCCATCCTTGGCATAGGAAATCGAAATTTGACTGTTATTTTATTAACAGCCCTGCTGTTGACGCACATCCTCCAGCTGCCATCTTTCTTGGGTACTAACAAGGCCGGAACCGCGCACGGGCTGAGACTGTGCTGTATAAGTTGTTTCTCCAGCAGCTTGTCGACAATTTGTTGTAATATCCGGTGCTCAGTGGGGCTTAGCTTATAATGTGGTAAATTCAGCAGTGAAGCTCCGGGCGTCAGATCGATCTGATGCTGAATACTCCTCAATGGGGGCAGCTCCGCTGGAAGGCTATCTGACCCAATATCCCGGAACTGGTTGATTAAGGCTTTAACAGACTCAGGAATGTCTGTATGTTCACTGACAGTGGTTTGCTCCTTCACAACTAGAGCCAAAATTTGGCATGAATCTCTCCAAGCGTGCAGCAATTGATTACCTGAAACCACACACATGTTTGATTTATTTTTCTCAACTACATAATCCATACCTTGATTGTCAGGTAGCAGCCGAATTGATTTTCCATTCCAGTCAAATGTGTATGTATTAGCGCGGCAGTCATGTGTGGCACTCACATCAAATTGCCACGGTCGCCCAAGAATTATGTGACAGACATCCAATTCTATTTCATCACACAACACCTCGCTTACATAGTTCTTCCCAATAGAGAATTTTACGCGACAAAGTTCCGTGATTTCCATTTCTACGCCCTTCTTTACCCAGCTAACTTTGCACGGGTTTGAATTCTTCGATGTTTTAAGCTGTAGTGCCTCCACGGCGGCCTTCGACACCACATTTTCGGTGCACCCACTGTCTATCAATAGATTACAAACTTTGCCATTGACGGTGCATTTGGTCCGAAATAATGTGTTTCTCTGTGAGCTGTTGGGTAGCCGCGGCGTAAAGAGTAACTTCTGAAGCACGCACATAAGAGGCTCGCCCTCATCTCCGCCGACCTCTTCTAAAGAATCTTCCTGCTCATCTTCGCCTTCTCCACCCGGGTCCTCACTTTCAACTTCCAACAGCTACAATTGCGGTCTTGTTGGACACTCATTCGATTTGTGTCCTTGTTGAAAACATCGAAAACATTTGATATTCATGGGTTTTGCATACGGGTTATCTTTAGGTGGTCCGCGTCCTTTCGACACAAATTTTCCCTCGGCACCTTTTCCTCCCGTGATAACATGACCTGTATTATTTTTGATAGGAATTTGATTCAGATTCTTGCTATTCTGTGTAGCACTATAATTGTTGGATCGTTGCTGATCAACACTTTGCTTCGATGCTCTTTTCTCTTGACTGCTTCTGCTGTGACGGGCCAACTGCGTTTCTACTTTCAGGGCATAATTCACCGCTTGGGAGACCGACCACACCGTGTTCAATTCAAGTCTGTCTTGAATTGCTTCCCTCAATCCTCCGACATACCTTGCAACTAATTGATTTGTGGATTCATTGAGATTGTTTCTTGCACTGAGTTGGTAAAATTCTTCCGTGTAGTCGCTTACTGTTCGACTACCTTGAGTGCAATGTTGATATTGGAGGTATAACATTTGCTCATAATCCGTGGGTAGGAAATGCCCACGCAGCAGCTGTTTCATTCTCCCCCAGCTGTGTACTGGCCCCTGACCTTCACGCCTTCTAGATTGTAGGAGCTGTAGCCACCACGCACTAGCTCCCGATTTGAGTCGACAGGCAACGTATTTGACCTGCTTCTCCGGCTCCACTTCCATGTACTCGAAGAAGGTTTCCACGGCTCTTTCCCAATCAAGATAGTCTTCTATATGCAACTTCCCGTCAAAGAATGGTATATCCATTTTAACGCGAAATTCGATGTGGTGACGATCATTGTCCCGGTATCTCCTTCGGCGGTGTTGAATCACTTCTTCATTAGAATCGAGCATATCCAGCTCTATGAAATGCTCTGTTGCTTCTTCCGAATCAGACGCTCCCGTAATCGGCGTGTCCCTTACTGCATTCCGTAAACCATCTGTTATGCGCCTACCATTCGGAGTGTTCGTGGTCGCCATTGTCCGCTGCGGACCCAGTCGCTCCAGACGAACATGGATTGCTCGCATTTCCTGCCTCATCTCTTCACGGAACCGATGAGCATCGGCGGCAATCTCCTCCAGGTGTTGCGCGAGACTTCGGTGTTCTGCCCACAAGGCTTCAAGGCTTCTTTCATCTCCGGGAGCCACCCGTCTGCTGCTCTCCGCCATCTGGCTCTGATACCAAAATACTGATGTAATGGATCCTGCACATAAGTTAGCTAAGCAAACAGTGAACAAGCAATGGAACAGTAAAGTATACTGTCTGTGTATTTCTTTGTAAAATGTAAAAAGCTCCTTCCTCCTCCTCCTTTCTATCTCATATACCTCTTACTATGATCCGGCTATTCCAGAATTAGCATAAAGGTAAAATTCTGACTAAATAACTAACTAAATCAAAACAAGTAATAAAGTAAAAGGATAGTAGTTCTCAGCTCATAACAGAGCATGGGCCGTTATCATGTCCCACGAGCCTTCGTTGTTAACGATGCTCCGCATCAGTAAATTAACAAGGCCAACGACACGTAAAGTAAGCAACATGCAAAAACAGTACTACGTAGTGCTTTATTAATAATTACGCATATCATCTTCACATATTGGCACAATCCGCAGGTGCTACGGTGAGTTGCATGGCGTTGAGATCATAGCCAATATGAAAATTCTGCTGTGCGATATTACCAAATATGTTAACTCCGAGATGATCACTAGATATGAAAGCCAAGCACAGCGTGTTCTCTGCAACTTCCACAAACGTATTGTGTTCATGCAGAACAACCGGTGCACCACCGGAGAAGTGAAATGTAATGTCAGGGAGCTTGGCGTCGGCTCCAGAGCCAGACACATCAAGGCAGAGATTAAAGACACCGTTCGGATCTGCCACCTTCGGAAAACTCACACTGCTCGCAACTTTGTTTGCCACTGATTGCACCGTCTCGTTATCAATGAAAGTGAGTGGTGTGCCGGAGTCGATGATTATGTTGCCCTGATGAGCGTTAATGGCCGCCTTCATTGATGGGTTCACGAGGACGGATCCCTGCGCACCCACACTGATCTGGTCGAGGTGAAGGAAGTATAAGGTGTCAGGGTTGCCTGGAATAAGCGGTGTGGAGATAGAACCAGAGCCTGAGACAAAACCACTAGAGCCAAAATTTAGTCGGCTGGTGGCAGAGCTCTGGGACATAGAGGGCA